AAATAAAAGGTTAGAGAACCTTCACTACTTGTAACTGATGTCTCCATCTTCCCAACAAGATCGCCTTTGAATTTAGCCAAGCTGCGATAATGTCCAAGCCTCTAACTTGCTTATAATTACCTAAAGCAAGCGAAAAAAATAAGGTAAACAACACATCCGACTTTACAGCTTACAGGGCATTAACAAAAAGTGTATGTAATTACCACGGCGTGAACTCTGAGGTTGTTCAAGATAAATTGTCAGCAGGATCATTTTGAATGATCGTGGAGAAACTTTAAAACTTCATGTTAATGAAACATAACAACGAAAATATAAGATATATGATAAAAAAAACCCTTAAAAACAATGGGGAAGTAGGAGGGATAATGGCGTAAGTCAGCTGAGGACATAAGGTTGTTACCGTCATGCCAACGAGGTCAGTTCCAAGGAAGCACGTGATTTTAGTGGATATCTCCATAAGAATATTAACGATGGTCAGTAAAAGAAAGGATGCGGATGAAGACCTATATATGTGTATACTGGCTGTTATTAATTTTATGAATTTTGATTACAACTGAGAAATGGATAATCAGCGGAGTAGTTTAGCACGTCGGTAATGAAATGCGCTTAGCTTTAATGAAATTATAACGAACGAAAAGCACACTTCATCAGCACACAGACAAGAAAAAATTCGATTAGAATTTTATCACAGTATGACTTCTCATAGACGATTCAGTGTGCATCTTGCCTCGTTACGTTTATAGTAAAGTAAGTGGTCGATTTACATCCTAAGAATAAGAGGACATAAAAGACACTGGCTGATGGAAACTTTGTATTTCAAATGCAGTTTCTGTGGTTTCCGAATTTCGTATGTAATTGGTCACTTGAAAATTAAATTCCTTCGCATAGGCTAGGCGATCATGCTCATGAAATTGCTTCAGAGGCAATATTTGCTTTGTCAAAAATCTAGCTTGTTCCAATCAATAAAGGACCTTTGGGTACAACTAGCAGCACTACTTGGATTAGGTCTTTCTTATAGCCACATATTTCGTCAAAGATTACTATACAGTTGCTATGTTTTAGCGTCTGTTTGTTAGTTTTTATTTTAATCGGGTTAACGACGCACGTCAGAGAGAAATGGCAATAAAACAAACATTCACTTCATTCATTCTATATTTTAAAGCGTTGGCCGGCGTCAATTCGTAGAACTGGATAGCCGAGAAACAAAATAGATGAAAATCGTGAATAATATTTCCCCAGGCCTCAAAAACTCATTTGATAGGAGTTTGGTGTTATTGTTTTATCTCAAGCGCCTATACGTTCCTGTCTTGTAACTCAAATGTTCTCAAGAGATAGCTATCAGCTTCTAAAATAAAATGGGAGATGTTGCGTAAACCTTCGTAGCTGAAGCATTTACCAGCACTGGCCGTCGACCAATTATCTTTGTAGCTTTGAAGAGCAGAGGTATTCGTTTTTATTCCCCATTATTTTGCTTTGATCGATTCAGGACACTACATCGACTGTCTCCGCACCATAACAACCGGTGGTCTATAAAAAACGCAACGAATCTAAGCTTTTCTATCAGTAGAGTTTCCTTTTAAAAAACTTGTTCTCTTATAGAGTTTGTCTCTCACCTCATATGGTACACTTCGAGCCCGTTATTCCATCTTAAAGTTGCGCTTTTTACCGCTGCCATTGGGAGTGCTGACAAAACTTACTTTTACGATAACAAGGAAAATATTCGCTCTCTGAGCCATCTGATCTGCCTCATGCCCTCAGGTCACTACTCCGATCACTTTACACCTTTATCCGGCGACTAAATGGATGAGTGAGCCCTAAAATTCCTAACCTTTTGAAGAGCCTCATGCATTTCTTTATTCTTTTTAAAGAGTCACGAATGACAGTCGACAGAATAGGTAAAGCTAATCATCAATAGAAAATCACTGTCGTGTATCACTGAGAATCATATGTTGCCTTTCTAACTCCTTCTTGAAGGACAGATCAAGACAAATTCCTTCCTTTGGCAACAAATGTTCTTTGTCAAGGAGACAGTTCACAAGACCGCTGAAGTAACTGAGTAATCCCCTCGGGATATAACCTGATGTAGTACGAATTTCTCCCAGTAACTCACAAAAGAGTGTACGGAATCCGGTGAGAAGAATATAGACATGAAAGGATTAAAGAAATTGAGTGGCATTTTGAAGAGTCAAAAATACTTGAGGGAAGACAGTCAGTTAATCTTTTTACGCGTACGCTCAATGTACTGCTTGATCAAAGTTCAAAATTCCACGGCAAGTTGGGGGCAACTTTTGGCAGTGTGGTAAGTCCCAAATCAGCACCTCAATAAAGTTAATATATCTGCAACCAAAACAACAGGTCAAAGGGGTATTCTAGTATTTAATTGGCTGGGAAAATGGCTGATAAGGACGCTGTAATTACACACCTGAGAGTTAACGTTAGATAATGAGGTGACCGTCTTATATGAAGATTTATGGCTTATTTTCGGCCTTTTTCTAACGAACATAGTGCTATTGTTCCACTGATGAACGGAAGGTCTTATCAGTGATACGAAGTTTAATTCAAAGCTAGGTTGTTGCGAACAAATTGTTCCAGATTGGAACATTGAAGTTAAGCCGATTGCGCATTTCAGGAAGAATATTGACACGCGTCGGGTCTGATGCGAAGACGAAACTCCCTACACTTCATGTTGAAAGAACAAGTGCAAGGTAGGTTGTAAACTCGTCCATCTTAAGCGTGAATGACACTTTCAGTTTGTTAGGCCTTTGATACAAGGTCTGACGTTATACATCGTAAAATCTTGTGCAATGATACCTTTGACCTTTCAAAGGTGCCGCGAAATTCTTTTTGTACGAGACACGTCTCTTGTCATATGACTAAAAATGTTGTTTCATCCAGCTTATTCACGTTACCCAAACATTTAATCTCATTAAGGCAAGTTTCAACAACTTTCTTTAAACTGAATTTAGGTGAACGATATGCAATTACTCTTCTCAGAGACAATTATTCGAACGATATTCTGAACTCTTCCTCGTTAGCAGTGAATGACAATTGTTGGGGCAGAAATTCAGATGGGGGGG